AAATCCTAGAAAACGAAAGGAAGCTAAAAAGCCCGATACTCCCAAAATAGTTGAAAATATTTTGGAGGAGACAAATCATGAGAATAATGATGATGTAGAAAATCGTGAACCTGAAGGAAATCATGAGATTTCTATCAACTATATCCATAATGGAAAGATCTGGGATCGAAATAAAATGGATGAAGTCGATGACGTTTTCTCATACCTCGTAGCAAAATAAATTGATGAGGAAAACGAGGATCCAGAACCAAAGTCGGTATATGAATGTCAAAAGAGACATGACTGGATAAAATGGAAAGATGCAATACAAGTCGAACTTGATTCGCTCAATAAGCGAAATGTATTCGGACCTATTGTACTCACACGTAAATATGTGAGACCGATTGGATACAAATGGGTTTTCGTTAGAAAAAGAAATGAGGAAAATGAAATTACGAGATACAAGGCTCGTCTCGTAGCTCAAGGATTTTCTCAAAGACCCGGGATTGATTATGAGGAAACATATTCCCCCGTTATGGATGCAATAACGTTTAGATTCTTGATGAGTCTAGCGGCTGATGAAAATTTAGAAATGCGTCTCATGGATGTTGTTACAGCATATTTGTATGGAACATTAGATACAGATATCTATATGAGAGTTCCCGACGGGTTTAATATGCCAGAAGCATTGAAATCTAAATCCAAAGAGTTATGTGCAATAAAGTTGCAAAGATCATTATATGGGTTAAAGCAATCTGGGCGAATGTGGTATAATCATCTTAGTGAACATTTAACGAAAGAAGGATATGTGAACGATCCTATATGCCCATGTGTTTTCATCAAGAAAACAAAATCCGGATTTGTGATAATCGCGGTATATGTTGATGATCTAAATATAATTGGGACTCAAGCAGAAATACAAAAAGCAACAAACTATTTAAAAGGGGAATTTGAGATGAAAGATCTCGGACAAACAAAATTTTGTCTTGGCCTACAAATTGAACATACTCAAAAGGGTATATTTGTTCATCAATCCACATACACCAAAAGAGTGTTAAAACGTTTTAATATGGATAAGGCAACTCCTCTCAGTACTCCAATGGTCGTTAGATCACTTAACGTTGAGAGTGATCCATTTCGACCGCATGAGGAAAATGAAGAGATACTTGGTCCTGAAGTACCGTATCTAAGTGCAATTGGAGCCCTTATGTATCTTGCGAATTGTACAAGACCTGATATATCATTTGCCGTTAATCTTTTGGCAAGATTCAGTTCATCTCCTACGAGAAGGCATTGGAATGGGATTAAACATATCTTCCGATATCTTCAAGGGACGATGAATTTAGGATTATTTTATCCTAAAAATTCAAAAGGGCAAATGGTTGGTTTTGCAGATGCAGGATACTTATCAGATCCACATAAAGCCCGATCACAGACTGGATATGTCTTTACAATCGGAGGCACTGCTATATCGTGGCGTTCCCAGAAGCAAACGCTTGTGGCTACTTCTTCAAATCATGCTGAAATCATTGCACTACATGAAGCAAGTAGAGAATGTGTATGGTTGAGATCAATAAGCCAACACATTCAATCAAGCAGTGGGATCAACGTAAACAAAGAGCCAACCATCCTATATGAAGATAATGCTGCATGCGTTGCCCAAACGAAGGAAGGATATATCAAAAGTGATAGAACCAAACATATCCCTCCGAAATTCTTTTCATACACCCAAGAACTTGAGAAGAATAAAGACATTGAAGTCAAATATGTCCGATCATGTGACAATGCTGCAGATCTCTTCACAAAATCACTACCTACCTCGGTGTTCAAGAAGCATGTCTATGCTATTGGAATGCGCCATCAACGCGATCTGTAAAGTTAATCACTCGAGGGGGAGATTACGTCGTTGTACTCTTTTTACCTACTAAGGTTTTTCCCACTGGGTTTACTTAGAAAGATTTTTAACGAGGCAACAGAAGACGTTACACAAGACAATAGTGACACTGGTCTCCAAGGGGGAGTGTTACAAAAGTCAAAGAAATCAGGCTGAGGCTGCGCAGCCGTGAGATGTTTATAATTTTTCATGTGGAGCCCACCGTCACTATGCGTGCATAGTAACTTATCTTTTTCTCTATAAATAGAACGTTAAACGTTCATTGTAAAATCACCATTGATACTTCAACAATAAGAAGTTATAAGAAATCTCTCTCCTCCTCTCATCTCTTTATTATCAATATCCCGATCTTTCTGAGGGTATAAATTCTTTCTCTATTATTTATATTTATATACACTATAAATAAAATAATTATTTATAACATAAAAAGATTTATATCAGGCCGGACTAATTATGGGTCTAATAAAATCTAAGCTTATAAATGGGCCTCAAAACCTAAAAGCCCATTAAAACAGAGAAAACCCGCGCATAAATGAAATGGTACATGAAAACGCTTTATACAAAATCAACGGTGGATTCGAGAGCCAGCTCAACGATCCGTGTCAAAAGCTAAAAATCCAGTATCGCGGGATTAGGTTGGCGCCATAACACTAAGAAAACAAGTTTCGTTTCCCTCTCAATTTCCTCCCTTTTCTTCTCCACCGAGTCTCTCCAACATTTCTCATCGAAAACGAAACTTTTCCACAGAGATTTTCAATCTTACGAGACCGAGCAAAGGAAGAAATGGCTGGACCATCGACGACTTCAAACGCACCAAAGCAGAGGAAGAGAGTCGAAGCCGAAACTAGCACCAATACTTCTACTACCTTACGTCGCGCTAAAGACGGAAGCGCTTTCGCTCTCTGGTGAGTTCTACTACTTCTTAAGCTTTTGAATCGACGGAATGTTCTGATTCGAATTTAGAGATCTAGGTTTTTTTTTTAAGATTTAGGGTTTTATAGATTTAGCGATCGGGTTTCTCATAAGTTTTTTGTGGATTTTTAAACGATTTCAGTGAAGGATGTAACAAGAGTGTAGCTGTAGCGCTTATAAGCATGCACAATTGCAGTCTCGATGCTAAAATCAGAGTCAATCTTGGTAATCAATCATCTCTTTGTTTTTTCCCCTCATTGTATTGTGTGTTTTCACTGTTCTCATAATCTCTCTGTGGATTTGGTTGTTGATCAGAAGCTCAAGTTGTTGAGACACAAGCAGAGGCTAAGAAGAAACCTGCAGAGAAGTAAAACTCGTTAAGCCTTTACCTCTGACTTAAATGTATTGGTTTCTGTATTATGTGGTATTGAATTCTTTGATTGTTTTGTTTTGTTCCAGGAAGAAGACAACATCTGATGGACCTAAGCCAAAGAGACTTAAGAAAACCAATGATGAGAAGAAGAGCTCTTCTACTTCAAACAAGCCTAAACGACCTCTTACCGCCTTCTTTATCTTCATGTAATTTTCAATGTTTCACACTTGCTTTTTGTTGATTGTTGAATACTTTTTAGGGATGATGCTGATGTTGCCTTTCACTTTGCAGGAATGATTTCCGTAAAACTTTTAAAACAGAGCATAATGGTTCATTAGCTAAGGATGTAAGACTTTTAACTGAGCTCATTACTATGCTTTGAGTACTATGTCTAGGGTTTATGAGATTTACTAAACTGTGCTATGTATATTTATGATTGTAGGCTGCAAAGATTGGTGGTGAGAAGTGGAAGTCTTTGACTGAGGAAGTGAGTTGATTTAGTTTCTTGTTTCTTCATTAGTTTCATGGTGAATTTGTTTACTGTGTTCTTACTCTGGTTTGTGTTCTTTGATCATTTAGGAGAAGAAAGTTTATCTGGACAAAGCTGCTGAACTAAAGGCAGAATATAACAAGTCGCTGGAAAGCAATGATGCTGATGAGGAAGTATGTGCCTTTTTTAACTAATGGGTAGTCTTTCACTTTTTTCATTTTTATTAAAGTGTTGATATGATTCGATGACTGTTTCAGGAGGAGAATGAGGAGAAGCAGTCTGATGATGTTGATGATGCGGAGGAGAAAGAAGCTGATGATGCTGATGAAGCTGAGGAGAAAGAAGTTGAGAAAACAGATGATGACAACAAAGAAGCTGAAGGTAAAGAAGAGGAGGAAGAAGAGATTTTGGATGACTACTAGAAATGTTGTGCTTGTTCTTGTGGGTCTAGTCTTATGGAAATGTATTTATCTCTAATCGTTTTGATGCACTGTAAATGAAGCTTTTATTAGCGTGAAAGTAGTTTATCTGACGGTAAGTTGTGAGCAAGTTGGTTTTTTGTAGTTCACTGAAATGGTAATTTCTTTTGTTTAAACAAGTAATGAAGCTTATGTTTTTCGTTTTACTAATGCTATAGAATCGAAAATTATCGTTTGGTTTCGAATCCATTGCTTATGTGTTTTGCTAGTTGATTGAAACAATGTAAGTGTATGGGAAGAATGTTTGGTGCAATAAGGAATTCGATCGAGTTCCTATTGTCTTTTTTTTTTATGTGCAAAATCTCTATGTTTCTCTATCACCATTAACAGTATAACTAGATAATAACCCGCACTATGTGCGGGACAAAACGATTATTAAATATATTTTAATGTATTAATTATATTGAAGGTGTTCGAATTTTATATTATTAGATAAACAATAGTGTATTAATAATTATCAAGATTAGTGAAATTTTTTATTTATGTATTAATGTTGTGTTTATCATGATTCATGATATATATCTTGTTATATTAATAGATACACAAAATATTAGGTACTCCATTTTGTATACATTTGTATCTCTTCATTACATATTTTAATTGTATTTTCGTTTTAATTAATTGAGCTAAATAAAAAGCATAAATTAATTAGAAAAATAAACATAACTAAAACTAATGGCAAAATCTGTAAATATCTTAATAAATGTTGGGTCTTTAATTAAATGGATTGAGAAGCTCTGTGAGAACGACACGTCAGCATGGCATTTTCGTTAATCACACAAGGGTAATGTTATTTTTAAAAAATGCTTCTCAATTAATATATAAGGGATTTTCTTTTTTAGTCAAGTTAGATCAAAGACGCATTTAATTTTTTGCCCCATAAGTCCTTTTTTCAAAGTCTCCTTTTTATTTTTTTGGTTCTGGCCAGGAGAGAGTCTCTAAAACCCTATTGTCATCGAATCACTACCTCGAGTCAGACAGATTTCTCTCTTATTCGATCTTACGAGACCGATAGAAAGTAAGATATGGCAGACGCATCGTCTAAAGTTGGCAGTTTTTTCATTCGCTGGTGATTTCGTCTTCTTTAATCTCTTTGAATCTATTTTTTTTTTTTTCTCCAGATTTAGCGATTGGGATTTCTTTCTAGGGCTTCTCACAAGTTTTTTTTTTTCTTCTTGTTTGGCGTTGAAAATTCAGTGAAGGCTGTAACAAGAAAATTCCTGAAGATCTTGTAAGGATGCACATTTGTTATGCTAGATACGGATTCGCAGTGTATCAGGGTAATCATCATCTCTTTGGTTGTTTCCCCTCCTTACTCTGTTTTGTGTTGTCAGTGTTCTCATAATCTCTGTGGATTTTGTTCTTGTTCAGCAGCTCAAGCTGTGGAGGCAGAATCTCAGGCTAAGAGACGCAGAAAGGCCAAGGACTCAAACAGGCCACCTCTTACCGGCTTCGTTATCTTCATGTAATGTTCATTGTAACCACACTTTCTTTTGTTTAGGGATGATGCTAATGGATGTTGCCCTTTCACTTTTGCAGGAATGGTTTCCGTAAAAGTTTTAGAACAGATTACAATGGTTCATTGGTGAAGGAGGTAAGACTTTATAACTGAGTTCATTGCTATGCTTTGAGTACTGTGTTTAGTGTTTATGAGGTTTACTATAGTTTGCTATGTGTATATATGATTGTAGGTTTCAAAGATCGGTTGGGAAATGTGGAAGTCTATGACTGAGGATGTGAGTTTGCTTTAGTTTCTTCATTAGTTTCATGGTGATTTGCTTACTGTCTTCTAACTTTGTGTTCTTTGATCATTTAGGAGAAGAAAGTTTATGTGGATAAAGCTGCTGAACTTATGGCTAATGATGAAGAAGTAGGAGTTTCATAATCAATGGCTTGTCCTTTAGTTATTCTTTCTATTACATCTTGAGTGTTAAGATGATTTTTTTCAGGAAGTGGATGAGGATGAGGAATTTGATGATACTGATGAGGCTGAGGACAAAGAAGTTAGTTAAGGAAACAGATGATGACAACAAAGTAGCTGAAGGTAAAGAAGAAGAGATTTTGGATGACTACTAGAAATGTGATTCTTGTTCTTGTGGGTCTAGTCTTTTAATGAAATGGATTGATCTCTAATCGTTGTGATGCATTGTAAATGTAGCCTTTTAATATCGTGAAAGTAGTTTATCTGATGAGGCTGAGGACAAAGAAGTTAAAACAAACAGATGAATAGATGACAACAAAGTAGCTGAAGTAAACAAGAGATTTTGTATGACGACTACTAAACATGTTATGCTTGTTCTTGGGTGTCTAGTCTTATTGAAATGGATTAAGGTAGTATATACAAAAAAATAGACAATGATACGAATATGGGCTTTAAAAAGCCCATAGGTTCGTAGGTTTGGCCCATTTATGTATAACTAGAAGAAAACAAGTTTCGTTTCCCTCTCCTTTTTCTTCTCTACCAGAGTGAGTCTCTGAAACCTTTCTCATCGAATCGATTCCTCGAGCAAGAAATAATTTTGATCTCATCTTACGAGTCCGAGAAAAAAGTAAAATATGGCTGGATCATCGTCGAGTAAGAGACTCGAAGCGAATACCTTATGTCGCACTAAAGATGGCAGTGTTTTCGCTAGCTGGTGATACTTCTTTTCAAATGGATTTGTGTTTCAAATTTTGTTCGATTTAGGTTTTTTTTTTTTTTTTTCCAGATTTAGTGATTGAGATTAGGGCTTCTCACTAGTTTCTATGTGATATCTTTAGTTTCTAATATTGTTTGTGTTTTTTTTAGGAAGAAGGCAACATCTGATGAACCTAATCCTCTTACTTTTACCACAAACAAGCGACAGCGACGACCTCCTACTGCCTTCCTTATCTTCATGTACTGTTAAATTGTCACATACTTACTTTTGTTGATAGTTAATATTACTGTTTTATGTGTATATATATGATGATTCTAGCTTGCAAAGCATGGTGTTGAAAAGTGGAAGTCTTTGACTGAGAAAGTGAGTTGTTGTTGTTATCCTTTTGTTTCTTTCTTAATTTCATGGTGATTTGTTTACTGCTTTTTTAACTCTGGTTTTTGTTCTTTGATCATTTAGAAGAAGAAATTTTATCTGGTTAAAGCTGCTCAACTTAAGGCAGAGTATAACAAGGCACTGGAGAACAATGATGCTAATGAGCAAGTATGTTTTTTTTCATAATTTATGGGTTGTCTTCTTTCTATTACATGGAATCTTGAGTGTTAAGATGATTTGATGACTGTTTCAGGTGGAGGATGAGGAGAAGCAATCAAATGAAGCTGAGGAGAAACAAGCTGATGATGTGCTGAGGAGATGGAAGTTAGAGAACACAGATGATGAAGGTAAAGAAGGGGAAGAAGAGATTTTGGATGATTACTAGAAATGTTAGGCTCGTTCTTGGGTTTCTAATCTTTATTGAAATGGATTTATCTCTAATCATTGTGATGCATTGAAGCCAAGATTGTGAGCAAGTGGTTTTTTTTTTTTTTTTTTTTGTAGTTCATGGAACATTTTGTTTAGACAAGTAATGAAGCTTATGTTTTTTTTGTTTTACCAATGCTATGGAATCGAAAGTTTCGTTTCGTTTAGAATCCTTTGCTTATGTGTTTTGCTGGTTGATTAAAAATGATAATAATTTATTTAGATGAAAACAGAATCAGATTGAAACAATAGAATTGTAAGAAAACAGTAAAAAGACAAATAGAAGATATCATCTATTTTGAAGAAATGAGTAAAAGTAATAAGGATTAAGATAAAGTCAGCGTTGGACTGGCCACTTGAGAACGTGTGTTTTGGCTTCACTTCATTGTCTTCCTGCAAGCTGGTAATGGCTTACCACACAAGCAAAGGTTATGCAGATAAGCAGCTACAGGAAAGATGTTGAATGGTCTTCCTTGTGGAATCAGTCCACACAACCTGTTGGCTCTGAAACTCGCATGTTTTATCGTCTTGATGTTCAATAAGCTATCCGGAATTCTTCCTGTGAGTGCATTGATCGAGAGGTCGAGCCATTTGAGCTGCGCAAGCTGTCCTATAGTTTGAGGTATGACTCCTGTTATGTGATTCCTTGAGATGTCTAGTCTCACAAGTTCAACAAGGTTTGATATTGAACTTGGGATTTGTCCACTGATTTTGTTGCTCCCTATGTTGAGAACTTTCAGGTTCAAGCTTTCTCCTAAATCAGGAATCCTCCCAGAGATTTGGTTGTTGGTGAGATGGACCTCTTCCAAGAAGCTACTTGTCTTGTTGTTTATCAGGCTTGAAAGCGACCCGGTCACTAGATTTGAACTTAGATCAATAGACGCGACTCCTTCTGGCAACTTCAGCTTGGAGAGATCGAACCTGAGCTGGTTCTTTGAGAGCTTCACTTTCTGAAGATTGGTCATGCTTGTGAGGAAAGCTGAAACATCACCTGTGAGAAAGTTGTCAGACAAATCTAGCGAGGTCAAGGCGGTTGGTCTTGTTAACTTTGGAAAGGTTCCTCTCAGTTTGCAACCAGCCAAGTTGATATCTGAGAGTTGCTTGTCTCTGATCCAGCTTGGAATTGCTCCAAGATTAAGGTTGTTGTAGGAAAGATCGATGGACAGTAGAGAAGGGAATCCTCTGCCTACAACCGCGGGCAGAGGATCAGAGAACTGGTTTCTCGAGAGGTTGAGAGACCAAAGATTCTGCAGTTGTGTAATGGATGCTGGTATGTGACCGATGAACTTGTTGCCGCTTAACTGAAGGCTAGTGAGTGACTTCAAATTGCTGATTCGATCCGAGAGTGGTCCGGTCAGACCATTACGCTCCAACGACATGCTCTGAAGCTTCCTTAAGCCGTAAACAGAAACTGGTAACCCCCCGGATAATCTGTTGCTGGAGAGATAAAGATTGGTTAAATTCAGAAACTGGCCTATGAAATCTGGGAATGGTCCAGATAACAAATTGGAGCTGAGATCAAGATTCTCAAGCTTGAGGAGGTTCTTGAAAGTCACTGGAATTGGACCGGAGAAGGAATTTCGAGCCAAATTCATCGTAGTAAGGCTTCTCAAGCTTCCAAAACTCGCCGGGACAAGACCTGAGAAGCGATTCCCAGCTAAAGAGAGAGTCTCCAACAATGGAAGATGGCCTAAAGCAAAAGGAACATTGCCTTGGAGAGAATTATCATCAAGTATGAGCTGACGAAGACTGGTGAGATTAGAGAAGCTGTTGGGGATCGAACCAGCGATGAATTTGTTTCCAGTGATGAACAAAAGCTCAAGAGATCGGAGATTACCCAGTGAAGGTGATAATGTACCTTTCATGTAAAGAGTAGGCTCGTTCACTGGGGATTGTAACACCAAGCCGGTGACTTTTCCGGTGGCCGGATTGCATTGAACACCTTCCCAATCTCCATTGCAACAATCTTTACCAACCCATGAATCTAGAACTCCAGTTGTGTCCTGGATGATACTTGACTTGAAACCCAGAAGTGTTTCTCTGTCTTGGCTTGAACAGATTACTTGTTGTGATGATGAGTGAACAAAATTATGAACAAGAGAAGAAACAAACAAGAGATTCAAAACCCATTTCAGGTTTTGCATTTTGGGATAATGGGTTTTGATCAGTTTAACGAAAAAATGGTTAAAAATAAGATTTTTTCAGACAAAAGGATCTGACAAGAGTTAACTTTGGCTCGAATTGGGATAAAGTAGAGTGAACAGAAACTGTTTTATTATTGTACCTTCACTTAGACAGGAAGGTATTATAATGATATCAAACAAAAAAAAAAAGAGAGCTGCAAAAAGTTATTTTCTTTTCACTTTAATCAAAAAAAAAATTTGGGAATTGGTGGAATAAGTCTTTGGTTGGATCTTGAAAAAATTATCCACCTTTACTTATAGCAGTGGTGAAAAAGGAGAACAATTTTGATTTGAAATTTTTACACAAAAAGTCTTGAAGAGATTCACATGGAGAATTGTGACCGTTGGATGGATTCACGAGGATCCCAATTTTGTTTTCGAACGTTGGAGCGCAAATCAGTTTGAAAAAAAATTGTTTACATTTTTTTACATAATAACCATTCTTCTATCTTCTTTTTGTTTCAAGCTCTCAAGAGAGCATCATTAATAAATTCATGTGAATTCGTGATATAGGCCACTATATGTCTCATAATAAAAGTGATAATCAATAAACCATTCGCTATATACAATAATTTCAAATAGAGTTGTTAAATTTGGGTTAGATATGTTTGTAAAAGGTATTCGGTCGACTTTTTAAATATGTTATTGAATAGTAGTCTTACACTTGTGGTAAAGGTGTGGATAGATTTTGATTAAAATCCACAAAATTAAGTCTAAAAAGGAAATTAATAGACGATAACTAGGCGACTATAGTTTAAATAGTTTGTTATGTTGGTTGAACTATCGATTTCTATTAAATACTGGAGTTGATCATTTTTGAAATTAGCATGATAATCGTAATTACGTGTTATTTATTAAGGATTCCTATTGATAGGAAAATAAAATGAGTTACATTTATAGATTCGGATTTGATTAACCAGTGAACACCAAACCTTTTTATCATTCGAGGATGAGGTTGCGATAGGAGATAGGATACTATTAGATCGTTGAAATATTAGCGATGTTCATTTTGCCAACCTGTTGATTTGAGATAAATCTACTTTCATATTATAAGACAAATTAAGAGATGGGTGGTTGAAAATTTTGGGCAATCAAAGTATTATTTATAGCAATGCTAATTTTGGTAACTTGTTGTTTAATCAACTTTGATATAGTTATAAGACAAATCAAGATGGAAATTAAAACATTAGATATGGGTCGTCGAAATATGCAACTCATATTTATCAAGGATTTAAAACCATCATTCTCAATTTATTGACCTTTTTCCCCTAAAGTAAACAAATCCTTATTAATATAACAATTTTGTTTTCATTGCATTGCTAAGAAATACTACAAAGTTTATTTTTGTAATCGACAATAACACAGCTCCCAATCCCATCAATTATGTGGTCACCAAAGACAACTTTGTTATGAACCAATAAAATGTTAGAAATGATAATTCAACTCTAAATAATTCATTAACAACTTGACGCACTGTTGATTATTTATCACATCATACGTCATTATATTTCTGTTGACTTAAAACGATACATTTCAAAGTGATCTTGATTATCTAAGAATTTTCAATTTAACGTTTAGTATTTAGTAACTCTAGTT